CTGTAAGAATACAAATGAACATTTTAGCGTATTTACATTGGTAAATCAGTTAATTGTCTAAAAGTCCGAAATGTTCAACATGAACATTTTTGTCTTCGTCTTTAGCACTGTATTATATTTACGTTCTTTTAATCCTTACCATCATCCGTGATGAAATAAGTGAGTAGTAGTGATCATGCAAAATCAGCCAATTTAAACCTTTTGCATACACATCATTTCCGTATTCGCCATTTAGATTACTGTCAGAACAAGCGTGATACCACCAAGCACCTTGACAAAACTCTGCACAGTTAAGACCTTGAATCGGATGTATGTCGTTATCCCTGTCGTACATGTATGTAGTAAACTGTTGACCATTGTGAGGACCCAAGCTATCGCCTGCAATTGATCGATGACAGATTTTAAAAAGGTAGAAGCTAAAGATAACAAGTAACTATCTCATATTCATCAATCTTATAATACTTACAAATAATTCAAACCTGTTAATATGACGAATAAAGACATACCACGGGTAATTTCAAAGGTAGAATTAGGTGCCTAAAAGGAGAAGGCAACTCTCCTCATGTTGTAACACTCACCTTAAGATTGAGCCCGATGTATTGATCAAATAAACAGAATACTCCGTATTAAATGTTATCATTAAAATAATGGCCTTACTTATTGGAATAACATAAGTTCGTCGAAAAACACCCAGGATATATGTGCGAAAAAGGTCATTGCGGCGACCAAACATACCAAATTATCAAAATGCTGCTGTCAAACAAACTAAGTTACTGTCCTGTTGTAAATTTTGAGTTTACCGGGTGGCAGTGAATACAAAATTTACAACATTGTATTTACTGCCACCCGGTAAATTCAAAATTTACAACATGACATTACATACAATTGTTTATCTTTTAGCATAATTTACTAGAAAAGGGCATCATTGGCAACATATAACACCAAACATTTTCTTCCGTCAACATTTCTAATTGATATAAAAGTATATCATTATATCAGGCCTATGGAGTTTATGCTTCTCAACTAATTCGACATATAAAGTGTAATATCTCTCGGATAAGAGGGATAACTTATTGAAGGCAATTTTACATGAAATTCAATGAATTGCCATGTCAGATTTACAGATTTCATTTATAAGCACCGTTGTATAGCTAACTCAATCGTTCTATTTTAAAGATGTTGATTTTTAGTTTCTATTGCTTATATTTTCATTAATTAATTATAAAAGTTTACCAGAAACATTTATATTTGGTTCCTTTAAACGGTGTAAATTGAGATATTTCTATCTCTTAAGGTATAAATCGTTTAATTGATACAGATTTTTCAGATGCAGAATTGCTTTTAATCATTTAACTAAAATTTTGTTTCACTTAAAATATTTTCAAGGGCGTTGATGGAAAGATTGCCTATTATTTTACAAGCAAGGAAACCAATTTGATATTGTGTTTTATAAAGGAACGCTTCAGAATGTTTTCTAATAAGAAATAGATAGGTATCAGAGTCAATGTTGTTTTTTTTCATACATACCTCGTATTTCTAATTTAATTGTTAAACAAAAAAGGTTATCTTTCTATTTACCATATTAAATTTTCTTCACATCATTATTTGACATACCTATTCATTTCAGAAAAAGTAAACAACGCTTCATACTTCAAACAATTTTCCATTTAAATGTAATGTTATTGTTGTTGATAAAAATCAATTTTGGGGAAAAAATGGTAAAATTTGGAGCAGATGGATATTTCACCCTAAGACCTAAAAGTACATACTCTACCTAATTCAGTTTGTTAATCAGGGCAAGATTTTTACACCTAATTTTAAAATACAAGGATATCAATAGTCTTTAAAGGTACATTTGTTGTCCTTGTTAACAAATCCAGACCATCCTTAAAGGTACTTGGATACAGATTTGAAGTTAATATTTTCTTTATAATATATTTTCTTAGCATTTCACACAAAAAGTAATTAAAAATCTTATTACATTCAAAAGTTACTCAAACTTATATTTTTTTTGGTGGGTTTGATTTACACATCTTGCACTTTCACAACTTTTATTTTATTTTTAATTCTTAGGAAAAGTGGCAATCTTGTTGTGTATAAATGAAAAAAAATATTAATACTATAATTCAGAAAATTAGAATAGACATGTTCGAAAGCAAAACAAACAAACAATATTATTGTTAGTCCATGTAGTTGCGCTGAGCAGACTGACGATTGAACGCACCCGGTGAATCGTAAACATCAACAATAACAGAGCTCGTGTCCTGTTTATAAAAACTGTGTACAGAAAAGGTTACTCTACTTTAGACAATATCCTATTATTACAATTTTTATCTAAGACACTAATTAGCAGCAAAAGAAAATACTTTTGTGCGTTTATAGACTTTAAACAAGCGTTTGATACAGTCTGGCGTGAGGGACTTTGGTGCAGACTTTTTGGAATTGGGGTCGATGGTTAATGTTTTACTTTTTTAAAAAATATGTATGGGGGTAACAAATCTAAAATACAAATGAATGGTCCGTCATCTGAATTTTTTAATTGTAATGTTGGTGTAAACTTATCGCCTTTCTTATTCTCATTATATGTTATTGACTTGGAAGGTGTTTTGACAGAAAAGAATATTGTTGCATGGTTTGTCTAGTATAAGCAAAGGTATACAGGATGAGTTGTTTTTGTATATGAAATTGTTTATCTTATTTTATGCCGATGATACTGTTATTTTTGCGGAAACTGCTGAAGATCTTCAAAGAGTATTATATGATTTTTGCAAATATTGTGAAGAATGAAAATTATGTGTGAATATCAAGAAAACAAAGATACTTCTTTTTTCAAAGGGTAGACAGCCAAGGAATATTTTTACATATAATGGCAGTGCCATAGAAGTAGTCAAGGAGTTTAATTATTTAGGGATTGTATATTCTCGTACAGGCTCATTATGTAAAGCAAGAAAATATCTAAAAATATCTATGTGAACAAGCACAAAAGCAATGTATGGTGTGATACGTAAAATTAGGCAGTTTAATCTCCTCTTCAAATGTCAATTGGATTTGTTTGAAAAGTAGTAATACCAGTATTGTTATATGGCTGTTAAATAGTGGGGTATGAAAATATCAATATTATTGAACGGGTACATTGCCTTTTTTAAAACAAATATTGAATTTGAAAAGTAGCACTCTAAGTTATATGATTTATGGAGTAACTGGTATGTTTCCATTACACATAAATATTTACTCCAGAATAACAAAATATTGGGCAAAACTTGTGAATGGAAAAGAAAACAAATTGTATAGAATAGTATATACATGTATGTATATTTACGTAAACAACTTGATAAAGAGTAAATGAAAAACTCATAGATATTATTTCTACAAAAGATTTTTGATAGATGTGGTTTATCAAATATATGGTATTAGCACGAACAATATTTTGTAGAATGGATAACTGCCACAGTCAAACAAAGATTAAAGGATCAATATATTCAAAAGTGGAATAGTGAAGTTCAAAAATCGTCAAAAAGTTTTAATAATAGATTTTTTTAAAACCAATTTTGAGTGCGAAAAATATTTAACACTGTTTATCATTTAAATTTAGAAACTCTTTTGTTACATTTAGAACCTCAAATCACCACCTCCCAATTGAAACAGGTAGATGGAATTGTACTCAAAGAAATGAAAGAGTTTGTAGCTTATGCAGTAAAAACCAGAAAGGAGATGAGTATCATTATATTTTAAAATGAAGTGCTTTTAACCAAATAAGGAAATTTGATTTGAACCAAAAATTTTGCTCTATTCATAATATTATCCAGTTTTGTGAAGTCACGTGCCAAAATTATGTTGATTCTTTAAAACAGTTATGTACATTTATTTCTAAAAATAAATAGTATTGCCTGTTCTCCTTAACTATCACCTTCTGCTTGCCCCACTGTATTATATGTATATTTTATATGTTTTTGTAGCTCATGTACCATTTCCATGGTTTTGAGTGAATAAATTGAATTAAATCATAACACGGATGTGATCGATTTGCTAAACTCTGTACACACTACTTAACTCGATACTTAAGCTTGTGAAGGAGATTTGCTTTCTTTCATTACTACTCTGAATAAAATAGTTTTTCTGGATTAAAGTTTTAATATTTCTCATTAATACACAAGATTGCCATTTTTCCTAGGGATTAAGAATAAAGTTAAAATTTGTGAAAGTGCAAGGGTGTGTCAATTCAACCCGCCAGAAAATTTGAAGTTTTAATAACTTTTGAATGAAATAAGATTTTAAATAATTTTTTGTGTGAAATGCTATTAAAATATATAATTCGTGATATTATACAGAAAATATTAACTTCAAATAGGTGTCCAAGTACCTTTAAGTCGAATGTTGACTCAAATTTTTCGTGCAAATTCATAGGACAATTTTAACTTTTATTAGTCCTCAAATTTTTCACTTTGCCTGATCATGTTGAGGAGCTAGTCATGGTGGATGTAACGTCGTCCGGGGATTCTTATCCATTCTTGGTACCTTATTCCACCTCTTGAATTTATTGGATTCCAGCTGTTTAACGCCCTGATCACATTTTTGCCGGTAGATTGTTTGTAAAATTTATTTTACCTTAATGTCTACTCTTTTGACAACAATAAAATATCTTTATGCCGTAAGAGCAGAAACTGAATCAATTAAAGGTATAATTTGTGAAACGCCTATAAAGTTACACCATTATTTTAATACTTTACAGGTTTGCATCCATTTTAATGTATTCATGAAATAAAAATTGAGATAGTAAAAACATAAATTTAGATTAAAGTCTGTACTTAGTCTATCATATTTAGAAAAAGTATGTGGTATTGAAACGAATAGATTTTCTCTTAGTACTCTTCCACATACACTTCTGTGGATGCCAACAACAATTCAACTATGTGTCCTTAATTTAAGAATCGATGTGCAGATAAAAATAAACAAAGAGATGCATATTCTATAGTGAGAAGAATATAACTAATTAAGAACTTTTACATTCTGGTGTACTTTATACTTGTAAACTCACCAGCATTCCCCGTATATCCAGAGACACTCAACGTGAAGTTTGTATCTGGACCGCCAATGGAGAAATGAAAATACTTTGCGTATCGCCATTCCCCTGATTTGTCTTCTAGGTCGATTCTAAGCTCGAAATTTCCATCTTTCACAATTTCAAATAATGCATTATTTCCTGAGAATAAGCAAAATACGAAAAAAGAGAAATATGTATTAGTATATTAAAGTGAAATACAAAAACAGTTTGTCAACAAGGACGACCAATCTTTCAAAAATTGTCAATATTTATATATTCAATATTTTAAAAGGTAAAAGGATCTAGGTGGCTTCCGTTTCGACGGATATCTGGATTCAATATGGCGGCTTTTTTAAACGACAGTGTGTCTGTGGAAATCGAATTCCATAGATGGATAGCTTATTTTCCGATTCATAGGAACAAAGCAAATGATTTTCAGATGCCATGTGCTCAAGGGTCATTAAATTAATGGAATATTGTATAAATAAAACTTTTTTCATCGGTTATAAAGAGCTTACCTTATTATTGCATAATTATGTTCACTAAGGGAAAATTAGTTTGCCTGTAATCACCCTCACAGGAAGCTCAGAGTAACAATTGTTACCTTTAAGTAACTAGATACTGATTAGTGATTGACAGCAACTACACAAATTTTGTAAAACGAAATCAATCATATCATTTGTTGGTTAAATTTAATCATCATTATATTATTCCTAATTGGTTCAGATTAGAAATCATCTAACGGTTTACAGATTCCTAATGTACTGTTTTTGTTTTCGTGCAGAGATTGGAGTCCTTTGTTTTGATCATGCCAACAAATGACGAGACCACTTCCCTCTTTATTTCTTGTTATATGCTAGACTTAGTACTTGAAACATTTATCTAAAGGTTATTGTTTGGCCTAAAAAATGAAATTCATCTTTCTTTTGGCGCTGAAATTGATGCAAAATCATTAAATTACCAGTTCACTCGCGAATTATTGTTCTGGTACATACGTACGCAAGTTATTACCTTTATAATATTCATTCAAGTTCCCAAACCCATTGGTATAATCATTCCAGTTCCTGTAGAAATCAACACTTCCGTCCATGCGTTTTTGAAAGACCTTGAAGGAAACAATCAAAATGATTTATGATCATATTTATACTTAAGTGTGCTTATTATACTGTACCTAAAGATTTCATTCTTTTTTTGAGAAATAACACGCCAGTCGTGTAACTTAATGAAACATGTAGAGATAACGAACAGTATGCAAGCTTTATGGTCCATTAAACAATACAAGATAGTAGCGCAAACACGGGTTTCCAAAACATCAGAGGTGGGATCAGGTACCATGGAAGAATGAACATCCCCTGCCAACCGGTTCCACCCGCCGTGTGCTCCTTGTCATGATCGGGAAATAACGGGAAAATCCGTAAACAATTCAGTGTGTAAATAATCGTCTTACAATTAGTATGGTTAACATACATGTACCTCTCTACTTGTAATTTGATCTTCATCTTTTCTGGAAATTCAGTAGGGGTTTAAACTATCAAATAGTGGATCAATACAACTTTTTTGATGTGTTGTTATACATTACAGTTGTCAATGCATTCCCGAGGACCCTTCCAATTATAAGCTTAATGTATTTCTATTCCGTAACACAATTATACCAGTTAGTTGTAATATTACATTCTTTCAGTCAATTTGTCGGTGTCGAAGCTTAGACTCTTATTTGATATTGTGGATGGAATAATTTTTGAAGAAGATTGATTAAATATGTGTGAAAAAAGCATTGGTAAGAAAATTTAAATGATGCACATACTCTCATTTAATTAAAATGTCTAATTCATATAATGTAATGATAAGAAGGCACTGAAAAGGGTAAAATTAAACTGTATAATAAACCTTTTACAATCAGAAGCCTTGATCTATTATATATCAATACTGATATAATATTTTAATCTACACGTTGTGTGTTGTGCCTCCGAGTTGATTCGATAAGTAAGAGCTTATTCTATGTACAATGAGGGATATGGAGATAAAGAACAGTATTCAATATCAAAGTCCATTAAACATCAAAGTCAAAGTCCATAAAACATGCACAATTAATTCCCAAACTCAAAAAGGATCTGACGAAGAAGATATTACAATTGTATTTGTAAAAATGATTTTAAGTCGACAAAACTTTTTAAAAAATCGATGTTTAATTCAATGGCTTAATTTCAAAATACAAGTTGAACACTTATTGATGGATACACTTCCAAATATTAGATCATTGTGTTCACACGGTTACCAAGTTTTACTGGTCATATATATAAGAATGTGCTCTAGAGTGGTGTACCCACTCGACAGGTGAAAGTTATATTTCACATCAATAAATTTCAACTCAGATTCCTTAAGGGGTCTGTGATTGCTCTCAAATGACTTTAATTTGTAGAGTAAAACCACAGGCACCTGACATTACTTATTTTTCTTTTAATAAAAAAAATATAACCCTTACCTTATAATATAAGGTAAGGGTTATATTTTTTTATTAAAAGAAAAATAAGTAACGTCAGGTGCCTGTGAGTAAAACGGAATTTTGAGCCTGATACATACTGTAGATGGTTTTTAGTAATAATAGTAATGATAAATTTTTTTCAAATTTTATGATTTATCGTTTGAATTTTACATTTACAACATAAGTTTTGAATAAAAACATAGAGAAAATCCATTTTAAATACATTTGACAGAAGATCGATAATATAATCAGGCTGAGAAGGACAAACAGGAATTCACATCAGGAAAGAAATCATTTAAAGGGTATTAAACATTTACTCTAAAAAGTAATATATTTCCGAGTGAATGAGCATTCATATACTGATATATACATTATGAATTAATGGAAAAGGAAATTAACATGCAAAGTAATAAAAATCTGAGTATCCCATGTCACAAGTTCAACAAAAAAGAAAACAACATGTACTTACTATCCAACCGCCGCCTTCTGTTACCATGTCGCAATATAGTTCATGTGTATAATCATTTGAAAACGCTCTACGAAACGTATATGAAGATGTTGCCGGGTGTACAAGATTTCCACTGCAATCTTTAAATGACAAAACATTAAAATTAAGTGATAGGGATATGTTTGTATTGTTTTAAATGACAAATTAGCTTTAAATCTTACCATATTTGTATTTACATCTTTCCCCACCACGATGTTCTGGACATCTGCAAGGTTGCGTAAATTCTCCCTCACACATTTGTCTCTAAATAATTTTCACAAAGAGAAAGTGAATGATTATTTCATAAACAAATGTTTTAACATTATTTTGAAAACTATGGAAGCCAGTAGATGCCAGGCAAATATATATTATCGGTTAAAATAAAATAGGGTTCCTTTAAAAAAAAATATATTGCACACTGTTCATATTACGTTTGGAGTTAAACTGAAAATATTCATTCAATAAATCACTTAAAAGTTCATTTAGATTATTTGCACTTATTTTGAAAGGGATCCTCCTGAACATATATTAAAATTGAACAACAATGCGTTGTAAACATATGTTGTTCAATTTTAATTTGGTACATTCACTTTTGAAGAGTGTTAATGCATCTATTTTAATTTTGATGTCTTTCTAACATTTAGCAACTTTTAAAACTAGTTCATATAATGTCCAGTCAGATAAAACCAATTTAATCTCACCAGTTTATAGCGTCTGCATGGCCCACCGTCTGCCCCGATGACATTTGTTCTGTTCCTTTCGTACAAGTAGCAAGTCTCAGAAATACTGTTGTCACAGAAGTCAATGAAATAACAATTGTTGTTCTGTATACACGAGGAAAAGCAGTGACTTATTGTCACCTCCTTACTCGCAGAATCAGCACTGACTGGTGTGGGAACATGACCAAGGAATTCAAAATTGGACTCTAAATAATTTCCATAACTGAATGCAATTACCAGCCATAAAGTTATGATTGTCATTAACTGCATTGTAGTGAGTGTATAAACTTGCATGGCAATTTCTTGACTGTCCAATTTCTAGGAGATTCTGTCTTTATAGATTTCGTGATCAATGAAATGGAGGTCTTTTTCTACAGGGCTCACCTGAGTCTCAAATCCTGAAAGATGATTTTCGAGATAAAGATGCTGATTTTCCACAACATTGTTGCTAATTGACTTCAAGTTGACTTAAGAAATATTCAATAATTTTTGTAGATTGTAAACTAGAGGAAAATACTGAAGATAACAAAAAGTGTTCGATCTCAAAATATTTTGAACATTGCAAATTTATGAATAGAGCACAATCAAAAACCTCTGGACTAGACGTTCCCGCAGTTTGCTTGTGTATTTGTATTGATAAGGCAGACGCAATCATTTTCATAAAAGTTAGCAAATGGTATAGAATATTAGATTAAGTCTGAAATGATGGATCTTCATATTATTTGCACAAAAATAAATCATTATAATGAGAAAACTATTTAAATGCAGATCTTATTCGAAGAACTTAAAATACCGGGTATATGAAAAATAAATTGTTTGATATCAGGACGAAAATATAATAAGCATTGTTTTCTCCATTTATTCCTCATACAGAGCATTTTCATCAAATATAATTAAATAAGTGTAGGACCTATTTACTTTATATCAATAGCAAGTGAAAATTAATTTTGATCATCAATTTTTAAGCAAATAATACACTAATCGTGGAAAATTGTGCATATTTTCTAAGATTTTCCATTTTGATACATGCATATGAATCTAGCTGTATAGGACGATAATTACTTTTTCATTTCACTTATTTATTTGTTGTAAATGCACCTGATCCCACCTCCGATATTTTGGAAGCATGTGTTTGCTCTGCTAATATTTCATTATTATAATATGGACTTTTGATTTTGAATGCTGTTCTTTATCTCCATGTGTTTCATCTCAAGAATACTTTTGGTATTACATTTCTATTTTTAACTTCGGTGATTGTTTTAATAACTTCAAAGTGCGTATGAAGTATATATGTATGAGTTATCAAAGAATGTATTTTTCATCAGTACTAAGCGTAGTCTTTCATTTATATGAATTGAAATGCTATTTTAACTTGTAAAGTTTAGTTTTAGAAACTTGATAGAGGGGATTTTAAATTAACAATTTGAAAATTTTGTTCAGGTGAGCTTAACTCTTACTCTACGATTTTTAAAGGAATTGATAACAATGATGTACGATAACAATGCATTTGCTCCATCACTATATACTCTTCTTTTCAGGAAGCGTTTGAAAAGCGATGTTTTAACGTAAATACAGCAGCAATATTCCATTATTGCTGTTCAAACATTGAAATAATTCCCGATTTTTCTTGATGCATTTTAACTAAAAGTTGTTTCTTTCAAGCATAATACAATTTTGGTATGAAGTGGTGTAAAAATCGATACGACAAACAAAAACTTCATTAAATTTGTGTCCTTAAGCATAAAAAATAGCCATACACGTATGGATCATCACAAAATTGATAATTTTCCGAAAATACAAACACTGGAAAATGGGATATAAATGCTTACCACGGAACGGCCGAAAACAGAAAACAACGGGGCATTATTCATCTAAGTGTACTTCAAGTTAAGTATATAAAATACGTAAATCAGTTTTGTTTACTTTGTCTGTGTTAAAATTCAATCGGCTGGAACCAATTTCTCAACGCAAATAGTAAAATGTGTTAGACATGAAATGTATGGAGACAATGAAAAAACGCTCACACTCATAAGTCCACGGAGCAATAAAAAAAGAAGCAGAGCAAACACAGACTTCCAAAACATAAGAAGTGGGATCAGGTGCCATGGAAGAGTAGGCACCCCCTGCATGTGCTCCTTCGAGAAATAATAGAAAAATTCATCGTCAATTCTGTGTGTAAAGACCGGTAATAGCCTAACAGTTAGTTTGAAAAACGTCAGTCATCATTGAGCCCAATGATAACTTGTTTTTGCTGACAATGTCATGTTATTTAAGATTTTTTTGTTAAAAGTTTTGATCAGAAATATTGTATTAAGATTCAAGGGATAGCACTGAGTATGAGATTTCACTGTCTGTTGTATGATGATTCGAGATTTTAGCTCGTATGCGATGTTTTATGATTCAAATTGAAGCTCTGGTTGTGTCAAACAATGTACTGCCATATCAGGTACATACCGGTATGTATCCATTAAATACTTTGCATATAGAAGAAATATAATGAAGTATATGGATTAAGAGAGAATTAAAGGAATATGTGTGCTATCATGCTTTTAGCATTAAAACATATAACTTCTTAACTTTTTATTACAAATTAAGGATGAAGTGGGTACATCACTCTTTTTTTAAGAATCGTTAGGAAAGTAGTGCAGGAAAATTACAAATTAATTTAATTGTAGAATTGCATAAAAAAAATTGTGAAGATATACTAAACTGAGACTCATACTTGTCGATAAGGAGCATTTTTCAAACCAAAATAGCCTGGCAAATGTAATTTATAAAGAAGATCAGCCAAATTATTATGTGTATTATAACGCCAGTGAGAAGTCTGAAATTCCCCTAGGTACTTTCACTTTCATTTTCAGAGGTACCCGCAAACAGAAAAAACGGAAAACGATTCTGACATGCAACCATGAGATTTTAGCCAAGGACAGATCACTCAGTGCTGAACGACAATTAGGGACATCGATTTGAAAAGAAAAGTTAACATCGTCGTATATGGGAAAACAATTAGTGGACTGTACTCATGAGGTAAAATGTAAGTGTGAGGTAAAACTGAGCATCTAAACAGCTTACTAGTAATTCGAAATACAATTGTTCCTCATGATTTTTCCCCGAATTTTTCTTGTATGTTGAGTCGTTGTCAATAATGTTAAATTTATGTGACGTGCTACGTTAATTTTTTCACATTACTTGTGTATTTCTTTACTTAACAAGAGGTTCGAATCGATGTAATTCGTTGCAAATGTGCAATGCACAACAAAGACATTTTGAACTGATGTCAGTTTGACATCTAATGTAAAATAAAAATAAGATCTTACTAGTTTATAGCGTCTGCAGAGCTCACGGACTTGCCTAATACTTGTTATTTTTTTCTTGTCACACATTTTAAAGCATGTATCGTGGTAAAACTTTACATGTAAGACACCAGTATCGAACAGACAAATCTTTTATATCATTACAAGGAGGAAATAAATTGTTTTGTGATATTGTTTTAAGTTGGCTACTTTAGAATATTTTTTGCTGTATATAACTCAACACTTTTTGTTTTAGAGATTGTTTATTTCATTTCTAAAAGTAAAATTCTTTATTTGCTAAAAGCAGTTCTAGGAACTTTTGATTTTGTCTTTATTTCATCTCTACTTTTGCTTTTGATCACTCAAAACCTGTACAGTTCCTATCACAATCATGAACAAGAAACCTAAAATTTACAATACTATTCTCCCACTTGCAAATATACCCTGGTTCCATGAAAAATTGAAAATGCTGTAATACAATATGCCGTCAAAATTCAATGAAGCAGAGCAAAATTAATTTAGATAGATTGACAGATAGATAGAAGAACGAGGAGGATATAGCCCCTTCCTGATTTACATGTACCATTTGGTGTATTTGTTGTGCATCCAAGTTGATTTAGTCTTTAGATTTGTTTCATAACAGTTGATAGTTGTTATTCTATTTCAAACAGAAATATTCTTGAATTTTTCTTCAAACTACTCAGCAATATGAGAATGAGATTTTAGATCTGAATTCCATCTTACTTTCTTACTAGGAGTGTTACAATTTGTTCAGCTTATTTAAATGGAATGAAGCTTCTATGTAACGTAAAAAATTTGCATTCATAACAATGAATGTATTTGGCATCAATTATTTAAAAAAAATGAATTTAAAGAAAATAAAGAGCAAATATTATAATTAATCTCAATATCCAAACCAGCCACTGACAAAAGAAATAGTTGAACCATTCGCTAGTGCTCCTGCGGCTAATAGAACACTACCAATTGTAGAGACGATCTTTGTAAGTAATCCCTCTTCTTGTTGGTTGGCATTGATGATGTTTATTCGAGATTTAGATCTTGCTGCATGTATAAAACGCAGGACTTCTTCCTCGGTGTACATTTTTTCTTTGGTCTTTGACTTTTCAGGTTCTTTCTTTTCATTTTCTCTAGTGATATCTTCAACTCGTTTAAACATAGCATTGCTGTAGTATGCTTGACCGTTGCTCTTTCCCATTTTCTTGATCATATATAATATATGGCGTACTTCTTTCTCACGATCTTCCTTTCAACCTTTATATCCGATGGCCGTATACCTCCCCTGTATTTCATCAATTAGAACTTTAATGTTGGAATCGTTATCCATTGTACGAACAAAGTCTTCAATACTCATACCGTCATCTTCTAGTCTGCCTTTATGAGTAAATACTACGATTAAAAAGTTTTTTAATTCTTCTCCAAAAACGTCCATATAAAATTCTACAGTTTTTGTTCTTCATCAGTAAATCTTCCAACTTGAAGTACTAATATTATGGCATGAATTCCGGGGTAAGCAAGAGCATACCATTTTGACATTTCTACGAGAGTTTCGATTGTCGTTCGATTTATATCAAAAAGACCAGGAGTGTCTATGACGACCAACTATTTGCCGAATCTCTCTGTTTCGTTGTATTGTGTATTGGTTGTCACAGATGTTGCAGAAACTTTGGTATCAAATGCAGGAAATCTTAGTATGGTGTTGCCGGTGGTACTCTTACCAACTCCAGTCTTTCCAATAAGTAACATCTGTATCTCGTGATCAGCATCTATAAAATAGGATTTTTTTAAACCTTACCTAGAAATAGAAACACTTGTTTAAAAATGCAAAATATGAATTAAAAATTTCTTTTGGGATTGGACTTATATAAATTAAAACTTAACAAGCATTTTATGACTTTAAAAAATCATTCAAACTACTTAAACGGCAAACTTTCTGTGCATAAACTGTATTTATAAAAC